AACTAGTGTGAATTAAAGCAGGCCACTGGGTCCATGTTGCCATTCAGGGGGAAATTTTCTAACAAGGGTTGTGGTCAGAACAAAGACTCTAAACCCTGACACCGCTGTGTGCTGGCTATGATCACAAGGCCATTGTGATCACCCCACTCCAGACACCCCAGGCGCGTCTGCAACAGGCCAGCTTATACAGATGTGTGCAGCTGTGAAATGGGTGCAGTTATGGAAACAAGCAAACCTGTGGCCCTTGGAGAACGTGAGCGAGGCACCTGCGCTGCACTCCCCGTGGACTGACGGGGCCCCGGGCAGGCGCACGCCTCACCTCTGAGTCTGTGTCTGAGGAGCTTGAGCTGGAGGAGCTGGAAGAGTCACTGGAGCTGTCAGAAGCGATGCCGGTAGACTCCTGGAGGTCAACAGCATCAGCCAGGACAGCCAGCTCAGGGTGCTCCTGCTTCAGGATCCTGAAGGGCAAGAGGAACTGTTCTCAGGGAGGTAACAGCTGGTGGCAACACCCAGTCAGAACGACAGACTCAACGTGGAAGCCTCCATTGCTTACGGCACCTGGATGTGCCCAAAGTCTTGGCTGGAGGGGCTCCAGGAGACACAACTGGGCAAGGACAGACCACACAGGCCGCCCACGTTCGCTGAAGAAAAACAACATCCTAGTGCCACAGGCCTGCATGAGCACCAGCCACACATCTCTGCAGGGGGTGGTCCTTGAATTTTTCCCTTGGGAGAAACAGCTTCTTTTCCTACTTTTCTCCCTAAACCTTTTCTGACTGACTTTTTTTTCCTTTTCCTTTTATTTTTTTTTAAAGCCTTTCCTTCCCTCAGCACAGAGCTAGTGAAGGGGGTGGGAGCTGGTTAGATTATACTAGAAAGAGCAGAAATAATTAGGTTTATAAGAAATAAGATGTCACACGAGAGACCACCCCCTCACCTGGAGAGAGAAACCAAGCTGACTAAAAGCAGCAGCCCTCCCCTGCAGCAACCTAACCTGATGTCCACTGTGACCAGCGACAAAGGACCTGCTGTATGCAAAGGCCTCAGAGTGGCCTCTCTGCAGCACACAGCAGCCTATAGGGCAGAGTGAGTAGGCCTCTTGCCCTTGAGTCCAGGGGAACAGAAGCCACCACCCTTGTTGGCCTCTCAGCAGAGGCAGAGCACTGAGCAAGCCAGAATCCCTCTCTTACCCCGAGAGCTGGTCCCTCCAGGTCAGGGTTGGGACACAGTGGCACGGGGTGGCTGGGGGTGGCTTGCACTGCCGCTGCCCGTGCTGTATCTGTTCTGTGGATAAACAGAGGAGCTAAGTCTCCAGGGCAGTTGCCTCACAAGAACTGAAGGTAGTAAGTGCAAATGAATGTTTCCGGGTAAAATAAAAACCTCAATGATGGTTTTTGTTGTTGTTGTTTTTTGCTAGTACTATTTTTTATTCTTAAAAAATAACAAACCAAAAAAAAAAAAAAAATTAAAAAAGTAAGGAAAAGGGAGAAAACAGCGTGAAAACAAAATGAGAAACGATCCGAACTGTGACCATGTATTGACTGCTTTTGACCAACATGCAGAGCTGAACCCTGCCACCTGGAGGCTAGCAGACACCCTGACAACTAGCCCTGACCTTGAGCCCTCTCTATCCAGGTTTACAGGCCCCAGCCGGCGCCAAGCACATTACTGCAGCAGAGAGCTCTCCCCTGTTCATCTCTGGGGAAGGAACTGGAACAGAGCAGAAGAGAAAAAAAGCTTCTCACCTATACCACTTCCTTGATAACTTTGGTCTCCCTCTTACCGTCTTGTGCCACACAACAGGGAAGTTGGTACTACTGGCAAAGTTCTGGGTGATGGCAATGGTGGTGTCAAGATTGAGGACAACATGCCACCATCCCCCTGAAAGCCAACAAATAAAGAATTCAGTAATGATCAGCCCTGCAGACACCTGGTGTCTAACTCAACAGAGGCAAGCCCTTACTTTTTCCAGTTTATGGCCCCTAAATGGCAGAGCTAAGTGTGTTGACTCCTGGTGACCCAAAGTTGTGACTAATATTGTAAAGCAAAAGTTCTAGGAGGACCCCCAGCCCTCAAACACTCAGTTCTGCAAACTTCATCTGTCCAAGTGTAGCTCTGTCTGGCTGAGATTTTCCAAGTCAACCCAGCCAGTTCTGCACTCTAGCAAAAAGCCACAGAAAGCAGGCAGACCCTGGACTACCACTCAGACACAGGCACGTGGGACATGGAGATGCACTCCCTTTGGGCTTAAGACCTTAACCCCACCATCACAGGGTGTGTGTGCGTGTGTATGGGCGCAGCATGCCCGGGAGAGTGAGAGGGACTTTTTGTCTCATCCTATGATTCTACTCCAAAATGACAATTCAGTGCAATTACGGAATACAGCGAGATCTGGGAAGTTTCTTCCAGCTCATCTATACCTGGTACAAAGACAGTTTCTCCTGGTTTCTGTAATATCTCCAGGGGTTTGAATTCAGGTGGCCAGGTGGGAAGCTGTGTCCGGGGATAAATAACATTAAACCAGGTAATTGCTTCATCTTGTTGGTTCCCTCCTTCCTCTCGGGTCACCTTGATGAGTTCTCGGGGCGTGCTCGTTGGGAACAGGCACCAGCGCTTGTGGCCCTGAACTAAGGCATTCCAGGCACTGGTTCCCAGGGGGTCAATGTGAATCCCAGTGCCAGAACGTGGCGGCCCCATCACAAACCACCTATAGGATGTAAACATGAAAACATGAAGTGTAATCTGAAATGTACATGACATAAAAGTCCCCATAATACACTATCATACATTATACTGTCTTCAGAGACTGTGTACAAATGCTGGAATACAACATTAATTGAATTATATGTGGACTGATTTCTACCAGGAAAAAAAAAAAAAACCCAGATTTTTAAATTGTTGCTGGACGTGGTGGCCCAAGCTTTTAATTCCAGCACCCTGGAGGCAGAAGCTGGTGGATCTGTCCGTACAGGCCAGCCAGAGCTACACAGAAAGACCCCTTCTCAAAAAACCAAAACAAAGCTGGGCATAATATCAGACATCTTTAATCCCGGCACTTGGAGGCAGGGGTAGGCTGATCTCTGTGAGTTTGAGGCCAGCCTGGCCTACATAGTGAGTTACAGGCCAGCCAGGGATATATACTGAGACTGTCTTAAAAAAGAAAAAAGATAACACACTTGTAAAAATATAAATAAGACTTCCTTATAAAGCAGTGGTTCCACATTCATGAACATTTGAATGCCCTGGGCTGGGCTGAAGAAATGGCTCCTTTTCAGAGCACTGAATCCTCCAGAGAACCAAGGTTCCATTCTCAGCACCCACATGGGGATGATGGCTCACAACTATCCATCATTCCAGTTCCCGAGGACCTGATGCCCTCTTCTGACCTCCTCGAACACCAGGCTGGAACTGGCACACACGTAAGCAATTAAAGTGCAGGGAGGATCCCCTCTCTGCTTTCACAAGGTTAGACCGAGCTCTGCTAAAAGGTTTTGGGGACTTTTATTGTTGTTGTTGTTGTTTTGGGGGGGGGGGGGAGAATTGTGTTTGTGTGTGGTTTTTCCCAGGCAGGGTTTCTTTGTGTAGCCTTGGCTGTCCTGGAACTCCCTCTGTAGACCAGGACAGCCTGGAACTCACAGAGCTCCACCTGCCTCTGCCTCCGGAGGGCTGGGATTAGAGGCGTGCGCCACCACGACCCCTGCACTGTTGAAGAATTCTGAACACTTCCTGTTGTGTACGTTACCTGTAAGGGGGTCTGCGCTTCTCCCCGGCGTATTGGAAAAGATCATCCGTGAAAAACTTGGGCACCTTGTAGTCTTCCAAAAGTTTCCTTCTTTTGGGGTGTTCACCATAGCTACTATCAAAGATGTAAAGGGGACTGTCATCACGGGTGCTCTCCATGTACTCGATGTAGTATTTCATCTTCATCTTCACTGAGTAGCCGTCATTATCCTCGCCACACTTGAACTTCTGGTTCCGGTATTTCCTTTTGAGGCGCTCCAGAGTCCATTTCTCCTGTGCGGACCAGCCCTCTTGAGCATTCAACAGAACCACGGGCTTGTAAGGCCTTTCGTACCGCTCTACAAATTCTTCCACCGACAGCTGTAACGCATCCGCTCTCTCCACGTTATCCTGGGGAGAGGAACAACAAAAAGACCCGTCCCGTTAAAACACAGGAAGAAGTCCGGTGGCGGCTAAAGGTGTCCCACGGGGCCAATTAGCAACGACACACATCAGCAGTGAACCAGCCTCTGGCTCCGCCAAGGGGGAGGGATGGAGAGAGGGAGGCCCACGTGCGTGAGAGTGAGCACGTCGCACCCACAGACACCCCTTCGAGGGAGGGAGGGGCTCGAAGCTCCCATTAACGAGCGAGCTTTGACAGCCCGGCGGCGGGGGCCGTCGACCCAAGGGGTCCAGGGACAAGCGGCCCTCAGGTAGCGGGCACCGGAGGTGGACAGCCGCTGCGTGGGAGGCCCCGCCCGGGGGCCGCGCACTGGGTGTCCCGCGCCCCGCTCACCGGCACGGCCGCCGGGCTCAACGGGTAGCTCTCGTAGTAGTTGTGCCGCGTCCAGTCAAGCGAGTCCTTGAGCTCGGGCCGCGCACTCCGCTTGGCCTCGCGGATGCGTTTCTTGCTCTTGTGGTTCATCCTGAGGGGGTCACCGTCTGGTTCCGCCACGACCTCGACGCGGCTCGCTTCCTGCCACCAAATGCGTCCTCTCCGGCTGGCGCGGCACCGAAACGCCCTTCGCTCCGGCCCGGCGCCTTTAAAGTCGCCTTCCAGAAAATTCACTCCCCAGCGGCCAGCGGAGCTTCGGGTTGGGCGAGCAGCGGCCATCCTCCCCGCCCCACCGCCTCTTGCGGTCCGCCATTGGCCTCAGCGACGTGCGAGATCCGCCTTCACGCGCGCCGATTGGGCGCCATGTTGAGAAGGTCGCGTCGCTGCCGCCTTGCCCCTCCCTGCGGCGTCCTGCGCAGCACTTCCGGCTGTGCGCCGCTTCCTTGCCGTCCGCTTCCGGCCAGGCCCGCCGCTGCTGCCGCCTGCTTCGGTGTTTCCTTCGGCGAGCGTCCCGGCCGGCTGCCCTTCCCGTGTAGCTCCCACCGCCGCCTGACCCGGGGTCCCCCGACACCCTTCCGGGCGAGCGCGGCCTTATGTCCGGGGCCCAGCGCTTTCGGTTCCGGGATGAGTCTGGCCCCGGAGCTGACAGGGACGTGCTGGAGGTCCGCGTCCCGCAGGTGCGTGCGGCGGCACACCCACGTGGAAGCACCTTCTGGTTGGAGCATAGGGAATGGGGAACCCTCAGTTTTCGGCCTCGTTCGGGAGCATCAGGTTTAGTATGAAGCCCGGTGATGGCTTAAACGTGCTCCAGTGAGACATTTAGGGGACCGTGCCAGGAAAGTGGCTGTCTTGTCTTATGATGCTAACTTTGAACTTCTTTGAAACATTTATCAATATATTAAACCCCCGCTCACTCACACACACATCTCTGGCTGTCTGAAGCAGTGCTGGGGTTCGAACCCAAGATCTCATACATATTAGGCAAAAGTTGCGCCATTGAGTCATACTCAACCCCGTAATTCTCACTTGGTGTAAGTTCTGTGACCAGGGATTCCCGTCTCCCAACACCCCAATAAAGTTTTCTGCATTTTCCCTGGCTTGCTCCTCTGAGTCCGTAGCTACCTTAAGCCTTCAATAGTAACTGTTCCGGTAAGGTTTTACAAAGGATTTTCATGTTGTCGTGTTAGCAGCTGGCCCAGTAGGTAGGGGTTCCTGGCAGTAGCAGTGGGAGCAGAAGGTACAGCCCTGTGCTGCCACTTGTAGCAGCCCGCGTTTCTTTCCAGAGACTTCTACCCAAGCGAAGTAGAGATTTTGTTTTGTTTGTTTGAGATAGGGTTTCTCTGTTAACCTGGCCTGTTCTGGAACTCGCTGTAGACCAGTCTGGCCTCGAACCAGGGATCAGCATGCCTCTGCCTCCCTAGTGCTGGGACTAAAGACATCACCCTTTCTCCACCCCCAGCCACCTCTAACACCCATCGGAGCAGAGATTCTTGACCACATACTAGAGAAAAACTTTTCAGGGCAAATCAGTATGAAGCAGACTTGGAGGGTATTAACATTATAACCTGGATTTAAGTTTGGGAGTTAACAGAGACTTAGGGAAAGGACACAAAAGGCATGGGAACAGTCCTTGCATTTAGAAAACTTTAAAAATGTTTTAATTGCCATATGCATGAATTTGGTAGCTTCTGCAATTAAACCATGTAAGGGATTTCTTAAAATATTTTTAGTTACTAAGACAATAGAGGTGCGTTGCACAGGAGGGATTACAGTGATGGATGCCAAAACCTTATTTCTACAAGAAACTTTAACGATACTAGGTCCTAAGGGTGTTGACATGTTTATAATCTTGTGAGATTCTCAGAAAGTTCCATGTTACAGCTGGAAAAGATGTGAGGTTACATTTAAAGGTCAGACACACTTTGGCCATATGAAGCTTCCGTTTTTGTTTTTGTTGTTTGTTTTTGAGACTGTGGCTGTCCAGGAACTTGATCTGTAGACCAGGCTGGTCTTGAACCCACAGAGATGCATCTGCGCTCCTTCCTATGTGCTGGGATTAAGGGTGTGCCACCATGCCTGACTGATTCTTCAATATTTTAACATTCTGGTTTGAAATATCTCTCTATAAGGAATATTGCTCCTCTGTAGACAAACTTCACGTTGAATTTTCTTAGTTGTACTGAAATTTGACCCTTTACCTGATGAGACTTCAGCCAGATTCCAGGATGAGAGCTTTCCCATGTGGTCCTTATTTTTCCTGTCTGTCTGTCCTGCCTCAGCAGCTCAGTAAAAGCTTTTGGCTTCAGTTAAAGAGAAAGACAGCATAAGAGGCAGGCCAAAACCCAACTTGTTTTCTGTAGCCTCCAAATGTCTTCATGTCAAAAACTCTAGAAGGCTAGGCCTTTACTCAGGCTGTCCTCAACACTCAGGACATTGTATGGTTGTATGTTATCAGCATGTGTATATATAATATTATGAGTCAGAGTATCATGTTTAGGCACCGATACTTATTTTTTGATATGGGATTTCATTATTTAGTGAGTTTCCTGGAACTACCAGAGACCTGCCTACTTCTGTCTTTCAAATGGATTAAAGCTTGGCACCACCATACCCTGTTTTTTTGTTTTGTTTTGTTTTGTTATGTTTTTTTCTTTTTTTCCAGGTAGCCCATGCCCTTAATCCCTCCTTTAATCATTATCGTTCATGAGGCAGAGGCAGGAAGATCACTGGGAATTTGAGGCCAGCATAGCCAGTTCCAGGACACCCTGGGCTGCATACCTACTTTGTCTCAAAAATGAAAAGCTGAAAGCACTTTGAACTGTTGATTCGTCTTTCTAGTCCCCTGTAACTTCATTTAAACTATATATGTGTACATGCTTTTTTCCCTCTTTGTAGCCTTGGTTATCCTGGACTTACTTTATAGATCAGGCTGGCCTCAAACTACAGGATCTGCCTCCCTGAGTGCTGGGATCACAGATGTGCCACTGTCCCCAGCTACATATTTGTATGTTAAGTAAAAATAAAACAGTGTTTCTCAGTGGCTTTTCCAGTCCGTTCATTTTCCAGTGTTCTTCATACTTCTTCCCTTCTCCACTCTCAGGATTAACTTCCCTTCATGCTCTCCAAATAAAGTTTGTTTTTTTATGTTGATTATTCTCTTTTGAGACAAAGTCTACGCAGCTTTGGCTGGCTTTGAACTCAGAGATAGGCCTGCCTCAGCCTCCCAAATTTTAAGACTAAATGGTTGTGTCACTACATCAGGCTATATTTATATTTTATGATTAAGGGTGTTTTGCCTGCATGTATGTCTGTGTCTTCATATGCATGTATGTATGTATCTAGTGTCTTCAGAGCCAAAAGGGGGTGTTAGGCCACTTGGAACTGAAGATACGGCAAACAGTTTACTAGTTGCCATATAGGTCCTGGGAATTGAACCCTGGTCCTCTGGAAAAGCAGAGAGCTAGAGCTATCTTTCCAAACCCCCTCCCCTTTTTGTTTTTGTTTTTTCGAGACAGGGTTTCTCTATGTAGCCTTGGCTGTCTGGGACTCACTCTGTAGACTTGTCTCGAGCTCACAGAGATCTGCCTGCCTCTACCTCCCAGAATGCTGGGATAACAGGTGTGTACCACTGCGCCTGGCTCTTTATTATTCTTTTTAAATAGGGCTTTGATATTATGTCTGACTGGCCCTGAGGTTGGGCCCTCTTGTCTCAGTCCCCCTCCTCTGCAGTGCTGGAGTGGCCAGTTTACCACCATACCCACCCGTGTCCTGTTTGTCAGCGGACTGGATGAGGAAGTTAGATTCAGCTGATTCCTCTACAGCTTTGATACCTTTTTTTGCTCTTTTTTTGCCACTCTGTCAGGGGCACATTTCCCTCCAGAAAACAAGCTGGCAGTTTAGATTTCTGTTGCTAATATGCAGTGCTCTGTGCCTGGCATTTACCCTGTGGATAAGTATCTGCAGCTGAGAGACTGAATCCCTGACAAGTATGTCCTGTGAAATCACACAGCTGGGATCTGGAGTTTGAGCCAGGGGAGGCTCACTCCAAAAACACCTTTCTCCCCTTCTAAATGTTCCCCAGATTCCGATTGTTTACTTTTGGATTTTTTTTTTCCACACAGGATCTAGAAGTCTAGCCCTGGCTGGCCTTTGATTTGCTATATAGTTGAACCTTCCTCCTGTGTGATAGAATCACAAGTGGGAGCCACACTCTGAATGACTAGTTCTTGATTTTATACTTTATTTTGATTTTATACTTTAGGATTCAGCTCCACGCATGCCTCCTCCTGTGGGATGTCTTTCTAGGACAGGCAGGGCATGCCACATCTAAATTGTGCTTGAGTTGAAAATCTTCCAGTACAGGGCTGAGAGGTGTGGCTTGGTTGTTACAGTGAAAATCTAGCATGCAAGAAAGTCTGGGTTTGGTTCCCAGCAGCTTATGAAATTGGGTGTGCTGGCACATGGCTGCAGTCCTAGTACTTAGCAGGTAGAGTCAGGAAGATGAGAAGCTCACAGTCATCCTAGGCTACATAGTGAGTTGGAAACCAGCTTGAGCTACAAGAGACACTGCCTAAAAGGGGGTTTGGGGTGGAGGGAGCTGGGCAGTGGTGGCACATGCCTTTGGTCCCAATAAAGGCAGGATATCTGAGAGTTCGGGGCCAGCCTGGTTTTCAGAGTGAGTTCCAGGTCAGCACAGAGAAACCCTGTCTTGAAAAAACAAACCCCCCAAAATAAGTAAAGCCAAAGAGGTGGCTTAGATAAAGGTTCGGTTGAACCTGAATTCTATCCCTATATCCCACATGGTTTTGGAAGGAGACAGCTTTTACAAGTTGTCCTCAGAGCTCAACATGCCTCTTCCTCCAACAAAGTAAACATAAACTTTGAAAGATAGCTTTGTTTGTGGTTTTGGTTTTTGTTTTTTTTTTTTTTTTAAAGAAAATTTCCAGTATCTTCTTGTATTTAGAAGTAATTCTAAGCTTCTGTGGCCAGTAAGATGCACAGGTCAGTAAACCTTCAGTCTTTTAGTTATGCTCGTGGGCTGTGGTCAGACTGAGGCACTTGCTTGGGCAGTCCTTCCTGTGGTCTGCTACGTATCATCCTGCTTTACTGCTGTAGCATTTATTATTATTTTTAAAATTATTTATGTACAAGCACTCTACATGTACACCTGCATGCCAGAAGAGGTCATCAGGTTCTGTTAGAGATGCTTGAGCCACCATGTGATTGTGGGGAATTGAACTCAGGACCTCTGGAAGAGCAGACAGTGCTCCTAACCGCTGACCCATCTCTCTAGCCCTGTTATAGCATTTATTACCAACCCAAAGTGCTGATCATTGTCGAGTATATAATATGTACAGTGTACAGTCTAGTCCACAAAGTTGCAACTGTCCCTGATTCTCAATTTAAATGCTTATGGAGGAGCTGTCTCCATGGCTTAGTGGTTAAGGACACGTTCTGTTTTTGCAAAGGACCTGGGCTAGTTGTAGGGAAACAACACCTAGTTTCAGAGCCACCAGTCATGCAAGTAGTGCATATACATACACATACAGACAAAACACCCATAAACATCAAAGTAAAATGCTTTTGGAGAGGTTAGGGCTGTCATCCATGAAGTCCTGGGTTCAATCCAGGTGTGCTGTGGTACATTCCTGTAATCCAAGCACCACTCAGGAGGCTGAGGCAGGATTGAGAGCAGCTTAGGCTACATAGGAATAAAATTGTGGTTTCAGACCTGTAGGTTGCAGACTGGAGAGCAGTATTGTCACGGTAATAACTGATGCCAGCACTCTATCTCACAAAAACCTTCTTTGCAGGTTCTACACGTGCAGTATGGAATGTATGTTTGGCCCTGTGCAGTAGTCTTGGCCCAATACCTGTGGTTCCACAGAAGATCTCTGCCAGGCAAAGCTGTGTTAGAGGTAACTGGAGTTTTTAGAATGTTGGATCATGTTCTCAAGTCTTCATGCTAACTAGCCTCTGAAGTATTTTTAAACTGGGTGGTTTGGCCAGCCTTGGAATTCTGAACTGGAAGTTTTCACATTTTTAAATTACTAATGATATATGTGACTTGAGAATCTGGAGCTGTTAGCCTGTAAAAAGCAATACCAGCTAGTGGGAAATCTGGCTATGCAATTCACATTTTCTGGTACTATATGTAGTTTAAGGCTTCTACTCCAGATCATACTAACACCGGAAACCATAGTAGGTAGTGGCACACAAATACCTGCATTGTAGACTAAACTGCCTCAATAGGGAAGCAAAACCTAATATTGAAGCAGGCCTGTACTGCTACTCTTCAGCAAATCAGCCAAAATGAACTAAGCTCAGATTTCAGACCACTTGCTGCTAGCAGTGTTATATGCCTTAGTCCTCAAGTGGATCAGAGTTCAAAGCCAGCCCAGAATATGGAGACTATCTCATTTGGGGTAGGACAGCACAGTTCTTAAATGCCATCTTCATTTAGATTGGAGCTGGAGTGAGCCTTCCAGGGATTTTGGCTGCAAAATGTGGTGCTGAAGTGATATTGTCTGACAGCCCTGAGTTTCCTCACTGTCTGGATATGTGTTGGCAAAGTTGCCAGATGAATAACCTGCCACAGGTGCAAGTTGTAGGCCTTACCTGGGGCCACATATCAAAGGACCTGCTGTCTCTGCCACCACAAGACATCATTCTTGCATCTGATGTCTTCTTCGAACCAGAAGGTAAGCTTAATCTATGGCAAACTTAGCTAGAGAGCCATCTTACAAAACTCACTAAAAGGACCCCATTCCTCCCCCAGATTTTGAAAACATTTTAGCCACAGTATATTTTCTGATGCAGAAGAACCCCAAAGTTCAATTTTGGTCTTCCTACCAAGTCAGAAGGTATGTTTGTTTACTTAGTTTACAATGATAAAGAAAAAAAGGTATAAAGTCATTAAAACAATCTATTTCTTCTATCTAAGTGCTGACTGGTCACTTGAAGGCTTGCTCTACAAGTGGGATATGAAATGTGTCCATATTCCCCTGGAGTCTTTTGATGCAGACAAGGAAGACATAGCAGAATCTACTCTTCCAGGAAGACATACTGTTGAAATGCTGGTGATCTCCTTTGCAAAGGACTGTTTCTGAATTAATTGTACCTCAAGCTGTTCTGGGGCAGTGTCAAGACTGAGTAACCTGCCATTAAGATGAGTTGTCTTCTTGAGCAAATAAATGCAGGCCCAAGACTGTGATATGCCTAGCACTAACACGGACAGCATGTTTTAACAAAATTAAAACTTGAAAACCACTTGGAGTACTCCCAATCATTAAAGTAGGACATATTCTTAGGTTGAGAACTTAGACACTGGAGATAAAAGCTTTGCATTTAGGTTCAACTGACATTCTCCTAGTGAGGAAAATCTTGCTCTGTATTTACCTTTAACATTCAAGGTAATTAATTACACAGATCTTTAGAGGAAAAAGACCAAGACATATTCTCAAAAAAGCTTACATCAAGAAAACACTTTAATCAAACTACAGAAACAATGGTTATAGTACAGAATATTCATAAGCAAAAGATACACCATGTTTTAAGTACTTACAAAGTTACAAACCATTTGCTTCCTTAACATTTTCTGATTTAAAGTTCATACATGAGGATGATCAGATTTACCATATTTTTTTTTGAGGGAAAGGGGGGGTGTATTTATCATCAGCTAGATGTGCTCACTGTATGCTCCATTATTTATATGCAAGGCCCGGGTGACTGGAAGTGCAGTTGTCAGGCATTTTAATAAACTGGACAGCCATTTGTTTCTGCACGACAAGGCATCTTTACACAGGAGCAATCAGAAGAAAACAGGAAACAGCCAAGCACTCTGCACTGCAACACGCCACCTTAACAGCTAACCAGCATTACTCAACTGCTACACAACTGCGCCTAGTGCACAAAAATACATAAGAGAAGAGATTAGAATTGTGTTGGGTAAACAATCCTTTAAAAAAAAAAAAAAAGTCTTTTCACCTGAAAAGTCTTTATACAAATTTGGGTTCAGATTATCATTTTAGACCTGAAGGTAAATAACATATATAAACAAATTACACCAACTTTCGTAAGTTTTTAATTTTAAGGAGTGAAGGCATTGTCGAGTCAATCTGCTGACAGCTTTAGGCTGTGTGTAAATGGCTGTACAGGTTTTCTTATTAAGTCAGGAGGCCACAAATTAGGTTACCAATCTGTTTAATTTCAAACAAAAAAAGTCAGCACTATAAACAAAAATAAAATTTTACCTCAAATATCCAATCCAATAATGAAATCTGAAGTCGCTCACCTCACTAAATTACAAGAAATTTGAATAACAGCAACAAAATGGCACATAAAATGAAGTTTGCCACCTGAGGCAGATTAAAACAAGTAAAAAGTTAGACAAATGTTACAAAATAACCTTTTTAATAGCCAGTTGCTTGTTCCAAGGACTCTTCCACGGACCGATGGACTGAGTTTGTGGTCCTTTCTCCTAAAGTCCTGTTAAGCTGCTTGCCGATCCATCTAGGTTTGAAAAGAAAAAGGTTCAGCTTACCTTCCACTACTACAAAGGTACCAAAGTGCACATGGCTTCAGTATCAGGCACGTACTTACTAAGGCTCTGGTGAAACAAGTAGGTTACAGAAGGTTCCACCCGGCCATTTTCAGTTTTTTTAAAGGCCCAAACGGGAATTTCCCCCAAAGGCTACCACCAGCACATGTTCCAATGATTCTTGGCCAACTAACCAAGGCAGAAAAAAAAATGGCAAGGGGAGAAAAAGAAAAAACGGGAGGGCAGGGTGGGGCTGTATCCAAACAAAAACTTGCTATCAGAAATTAGTCTACACTTTAATGTTTGAAAATGAAACTATTTGGCAGTTGAGGATGTTCTTAAATCAGCTACTTAGAGGGCCCTTTCCTTTAAAAAAAAACAGGACCAAACAATTTTAGAGTTAAAGACACACTATCCTTTCCCCACCCAGTGCAATACCTGTAACTTTCTTTTGGGGTTCCAAAAAAGTTCACTGCTTCTCAATTGCAATTCCTTTGCCACATCCATTAGAGTAAGAAGTCCCAGTCAGTACAACAACAGTTGAACTGATTGTTTGTCTCTATGAGGATAGTGCATCTTTAACATTTAAAGACAAACCTGCTCCAATACACGCCCACAGAAACTGGTCCCTGGAGGATCAGCCAAATCAGTTAAAATCTGCAATACTGGCCAATATTCTTTTATCAAACAGGAGACCGCAGCTTTAAAGGGGGAAAATGCAGACGTTGGATAAAAACAGCAAGAAATAGTCATTTTCATTAATAGGTCTCAAACAGTATGAAACAGCCATTACTACTAAAGCTTTACACAATCCTCTCTGCAGACCCCTCTTCAGCATTACTCCCAAAGCCGAGTAACTTCAGAGTAGTAGACTACTCTTTAAACAGGAGTCACTTTTATGCTAACACGGCTCAAAAAACCTACTCCATACCCCAAGGGATTCAGGGTGTGTCTCGGATCCCCGCAGACATTACCATTTTCTTAAGAGGAAACAGCTCCTTCTTCTTCTGGAGACTTGGGGGGGCTCTTGGACCGCGACCTAGACTTGGATTCTCTCTTGGACACGGGGGGAGGACTTCTGGATCTCGACCTGGACCTGGACCTGGAGCGGGACCTGGATACCGACGAGGACTTCGACTTGGATCTCCGCGCAGATCTAGACTTGGAGGTGGACCGCGACCGCGACCGAGTGCGGGACCGAGATTTGGAGCGGCTGTAGCGAGAGCGGCTTCGGGACCTGGAACGGCTCCGGCTTCGGGACCGGCTGCGGCGGCGGCGCCGAGGGCTGCGGGCGGGACGCGAGCGCCGCGGCGGAGTGAGCGGCAGGTCGCCGGCCCCGCCCGCCCTCCCCGCCCCGCCGCCATTATCTGGCTGCCAGGCGCCATTTCCCTCGCCGCGAGGCGGGGTCTCGCTCGCCGCGGCCGGGCCCCGCCACCGCCCAGGCCGCGAGGGAGGAGCCGCTCCACGTGCTCCGCGCACCTTTGTGCCCGCCGGCCTCCCGCTCCGCCCTCGGGCCCGCTCACCTGCGGCTCCGCCGTCCGTAGCCGCCGCCGCCGTACCGACGGGGTGGCGGGCCCCGGCGGCTGTGGTGCGAGTCGGGCGGGCGGCCGTAGCGCGCCATCTGCACCCGCAACTCGCGGCCATCCAGCACGGCCCCGTCCATGGCGTCCATGGCGTCCTCGGCGTCACGCTTGTCGTGGAAGCGGACGAAGGCGAAGCCGCGGGACTCCTTGGTGTAGCGGTCTCGCGGGATGTACACGTCGCCGACGCGCCCGTACTTCTCGAAGACGCGCCTCAGCGTGTCGGGCGAGGTGCGGTAGGTCAGGTTGTCCACCTTGAGGGAGGTCATGCCCTCCACATCGGGAGGCGGGCGGCCGTAGCTCATGGCTGCGAGGCGGCGCTGGGCCCTGCAAACTGGCGCCGGGACACTAACGCCCTAGGCAGGGCCTCGCTCTCGCTAGCAAGCGCGGCTTCCCGAGGCTGCGGCGGCGACGGGCCGCGCCTCCCTCGGCAGTCGCAGTCCGCGTGGATGAGCCGGGAGCCGCAAGGCCGGCGCACGACAGCCGCGCAGTCCGCACTCCTAGGCAGCAACTGAACGGGCGGGCGGGCCCCAGCGCCTATTTATATCCACCCTCACAAAATGGCGCCCGCGCCACCCGGAAATGAATCTTCTGATTGGTTCGTCGCGCCGCGTTCCGTAACGTCGCTACCGCGCGCCTCGCCCCGCCCGGTGCGCCTGCGCAGAGCGCGGCGGGCGGGCGGAAAGCGCGCAGTCACTGCCGTGGGGAGGGGCAGCGGCCCGGGAAGGCAGTTAGAAAGCCCGCCAAATGCTCTTTCCGCCGCCGAGGCCCGCGAAGGCGGGGGGAGGGGGGAGCACCTAGGCTCTGTGGAGGGAGAAAGAGGAAGCGCTCCGCACCAGCGCCCCGCCTGCCTCCCCACGCCAATACCCGGGCTCCACACACCGTCCTGCTCAGCCTTCAGCCCCGCCCGCTAGAGGGATCCTCCTGCTCCCATTTGCGTCCGTGTGTCCCTGGCCACCTCAGATTCCTCCCTCCCGCCGCTCCTGACTCCAGCTCGCCGCGCTCGGGCTACCTGGTTCCACTTTTCTGGGCCTTTCCACTCCCGGAAGGGACGGGTAGTGGGGGCACTGAGGGCACGCGCTAGCCGCAGTGTGTAGGATTACTTGGCCCCGGCCCGGGCCATGGCGCCCAGGACTACATTTCCCGGCGTGCGCTGCGCCCGCGCTGCGGTCAGCTGACCGGTCTCGTGAAGTGCTGTGAGTCAGGCCGGGAGGGCGGGGCCCAGCGGCTGCCGCTGCCTGTCCTTGCCTCTAATCCCCTCGCCCGCACCTGGCGTTGCTGCGAGGGGCGCCCCCGGGTTTCCTCCGCTTTCGGCTAAGTCCCTGCAGAGTCCTAACTGCCGGCCGGAAGAAGTTTCCGCTAAGCTCGCCGCTCCCTTCCGAGGACTGGAAATCGGCATTCTGGTTGCTCTCATCTGGTTTCCTCTCTCAGGACTGTCAAGGGGTTCGACCGACTGGCGGAGGAGAGGTGACTGCCCTGGGCCGCCGCTGACCTCCGACAAGCGGAGCCAAAATGTCCCCGGAATCTAAAAAGCTTTTCAACATCGTTATTCTAGGAGTTGCCTTTATGTTTATGTTCACCGCCTTTCAGACTTGTGGAAATGTGGCGGTGAGTCGGAATTTGTGCTCCCTCCTTCGAAATGCCTAGAATGCTCTCCAGCTGTGACAATAAACGTTGCCGGCCACCGCACTCCAGGACTGTAACTCCTGTTTTCAACCTCCCCTCCCCAGTTTTCTATGATTTAGTTTGATTTCGTGTGCCAGACATTTCTCGTATAAGGGTGTTAAACACTTGCTTTTACTGCTCAGCTTCGGCTTCGAATTTGAGTATTGACCATAGTTCCTTTAATTCTTGTCCGTGTTAAACTATGTTTAGTGCTTGGGTGGTTGAAGTACTAAAACCCATCGTAGGCACAGCGGATTGCCCGTTGCCCGTCTCGGGCATGTCTTCCATAATTGAGTTCTTTTTCTCCTCTCCTAGTGGGGTTGGGTGATAGCCCTGCGGAACCATAACATTTTTCTGATTATTTAGGCTTTCCAGGGGTGTGGGGGGGGAATGTCAAGATGTTTTCGTTGATTAGTTTTATTTTCCACACAGCAAACTGTCATCAGGAGCTTAAATAGCACAGATTTTCATGGCAGTGGATATACCAGGTATTGTACTGTGTGCATGATTTTACTTTGCATGTTACAGCTCCATAAGTCTCTTCAGGAAAACCAGCAAGAAAGTGCTGCAACTAAAAATTGTAATTCCTTTCATACTTACATTTGATTTTACCCAATCACTGTGTCCTGTCTGTCTGTCTGTTTTCTGATTTTAGGGCCAGCCAGGTAGCTCAGTAGGTAAAGACCCCTGCCCCCAAGGCTATTTGAGTTAATCCTCAGAACCTACAGGGTGGAAAGAGAGAACCAACTCCTGCAGGTTGTCATGGCTTCCACACAGGAATACCATACGCACATAAATTTAAAATTTGTAATTATAGGTCAGGCATGGTGGTGCATGCCTCAATCCCAAAATAAATGCGATGGTAAAATGTTAAGATGATGACTTAAGGTTTTCTGAAGAATTCAACTTGGGGATAGAACGCCTGGCTTCAGAACCTGAGTGCTAGACTACTGTGGGCAAGTTATTTCAGTGAGCGCAGGTTCTTCACTAAGATCATGGCTATAAAGACAGCCTAGTGCCTTCCTGTTCAGTATTCGTGCAAGTCATGTCAAAATCACATTCTAATCCTAAACAATGCTGTAATTCTTTATGGCTCTATAATTTATAATCATTGTAATTTCATTCTCTGCTTATAATTTCATCAGAAGCTTTAAGATTTTGTGCTGTTGAGGCCCAGTTTTATGGGCAGAGAAATACTTTGGGTTTGAAGCTGAAAATGTGTTAAATACATGCATATATACATCCTTGTCCTCCCTCTGCCTCTTCTCAAACACCCTGACCCCCGTCTGGCCTTGAGCTCACAGGATAACCTTGAATTTCTGATCTCTCACCTCTACTTCCCTAGAGATTAGAAACCTGTAGCACCAGGCCTGGCTTCAGAGTTCCCTTTTTTCTCTTTCTGCCCTCCTTTTCAATACTATATCAAAGAATCCAGCATCTTCCAGCCCAAGGCTACTGAGCTCCTTTCCAGCCCTCACCCCATGTTGTCAGAAGGTGACAATGAGGCCTCTGTCAACTTGGCTTTACTCACTGCTGAGATACCAGACAAATTGGTCACAGGCAGTTGCCTTGTGGTTAGCTGGGTGCAGAGGCCTCGCCGGGCAGCCTCCGCTTTGTGTATTTATCTCTAAGAATGTTCCAAGTTTGTCTTGCTGGTTCTTTCAAAATAAGTAGGACAAGCTTTTTCGGTTTTTTGTTTGTTTGTTTTCTGTTTATTTAGGGTTTTTTGTTGTTTTGTTTTTTTGAGGTAAGGTTTTTTCATGTAGCCCTGACTATTCTGGAACTCACACTATAGACCAGGCTGGTCTCAAATTGGCTGTTTTTTTTTTGTTTTGTTTTTTTTTTTGTTTGTTTGTTTGTTATTTTTAAGGCAGGGTTTCTCTGTGTAGCCTTGGCTGTCCTGAATACACTTTGCAGATCAGGCTAGCCTTGAACTCACAGAGATATGCCTCCCTGACTGAAAAATGACTGGTCTTAAATTAACAGAGATCCTCTTGCTTCAGCTTCCAGAGTGCTCGGATTAACTGAATGCACCACCTCATCCAGCTCTGGGTTCTCTTTAAAACAAACAAACAAGAAAAAAAAGTGAAACTGTTAATTGACAAGAATTATACATGTTTATTTTTAGTATACACACACTCTTTGAATTTATTTGATTGATTTAAAAAAATCTCAAATGAGATTTTACCCTGTAACTCATACTGGCCTGGCAATGGTTCATGCCCTGCATGCCTGTGTATTACTATGCCTGGCTGCTTTTTCCTAATTTCTCTATTCTTACAGGTTTGTTGTATCCCCCAATCCAATTACAAGACTTACAGCTTGGTAGCTCTGTGTCTTCTGTGGATTTGTTTCTTTGGGTTGGTTTTTTTTTTTTTTCAAGACAGGGTTTCTCTGTGTAGCCCTGGTTGTCCTAGAACTCTCTTTGTAGACCAGGCTGGCCACAAAATTTAAAATTTACAGAGATCAGCCTGCCTCTGCCTCCATTAAATGTTGCCACCATGCCCGGCAACATTTAATATTTGAGTGGCTTAAAGAAGCCAAAGAAGTATAAATTTCCATATTTTTAACACTGCTAATAATTGAAATCAGGATCCTCAAATGGCTGTGGTTCCACTTTGTTCAAGATGTATGTAATAAGATGGGTGATGTGTTATAGCCTTTAATCCCAGCACTTGGGAGGCAGAGGCATGGGGAGCTCTGTGAGTTCAAGGCCAGCTGCTCTGCAGAGAGAGTTGTAGTATAGCCAGAACTATGTAGAGAGACCCTATCTGAAAAGGGGGGAGTGAGAAAGAAGAAAAAGATAAATGTAGTAAGAAAAAGAAGATAGATATATGTAGTAGGGCCAGGCATGCTGTGTATGCCTGTAATCCCAGAACATGGGAGGCTTACGCAGGAGAATTGTGGGCTCAAGGCTAGCCCTGGCTATCTAGTGATATCCTGTCTTAAAAACAACTGTTCATATACATAACATATGTTTATATGACCTATACGTATACCTGAAGTGAGTACATGTAACAGTGCTAAAAAGTAAGTGAAAAATGTTCAGGTGAGGTAAATAAGTCCCAGTGTAAGCAAGCTCTAAGTCTGCTTGTTATTTATAGCAAAGAAATAGCATCTAGCTACCAGAAGCTGTAGTGGAATGGCCTGCTTCACCTGGGCCCCTGGAGCAAGTCTCCTGGCTAGATCCTGACTCACCATTCCCTAATGACTGCCTGAACTCGAGGCGGCTTATTCACAGCAATTCTGTTTTCCATAAAGTGAGGCTGGGTAGTGATGCTATAGCATCTAGGCTTAAAAGAGGAAATACTTGTTTTTTCGAAACAGGATTTCTCTGTGTAGCCTTGGCTGTCCTGGACTCACTTTGTATACCAGGCTGTCCTCAAACTCAGATCCCCAGCCTCTGCCTCCTGAGCGCTGGGATCAAAGATGTGTGTCATCATGCCTGGCCCAGCACTCACTTTTATTTAGAGCAGTACCAAATATACAAATAAATAAATAAATAAATAAATAAATAAATAAATTTAAATGAATAAATAAATAAATTTAACACTCACTTTTATTAAGAGCAGTACCTTTAAATCATGTCACAAGCAAGCTGGCTGAAAGAAGCAGGATTCAAATACTTAATATACACCAGATGCAGTGGTGCATGCCTGTAATCCCAACGCTCTCCGGGGGCAGGCAGACAGGAACATTGCTGCGGGTTTGAGACCAGCCTGGGCTAGGTGTAGAGGCCCTGCCAGAACAAACAAAAACAGCAAATATTAAATTGCACGCCTGTAATCTAGCACTTGGGAGGCTGAGGCAGGGTTACCAAGAGTTCAAACTCAGCCTGAGCTACACAGTGATTCACTATTTCAAACCAGCCAGGGCTACATAGTAGGACCCTGTCTCAACAAAACCTCTATCCACCTGTTAGCCACTAATATGTTTATAAAGTAAGTACATATTTTTGTCTGTTACATAAACTTTATTTTTTTCTAAGGATATAAATTCTGACTAAAGTCTGTGAAAGATTTTTGGTAAAATTATGAAATTTCCATATTATGAATAGAAGTTTACCTTATCTTTTTTTTGCACATATGTATTAATGCCCACATATCATGTGTGAGGCCAAAGGACAACTTCTTCCACATTGTGGGTTTGTGGGAGGAGCGCGCTCGTCAGGTTTGCCCAGGTGCCATCGCCCTCTACCTAGGCAGAATCTTAGAAGTGACTTTTTGAGATGTTACCTAAGCTCTTGTTCTTTCCCCTGTGCATTGTGTGAGCAGCTTGGCAATTATTTACGGTGTGTTCTCTGCCTCCAATCTGATCACTCCATCCGTGGTTGCCATCGTTGGACCTCAGCTCTCCATGTTTGTCAGTGGCTTGTTTTACAGGTGAGCGGTGCTTCTTCCTCTCACTTGCTTGATTTAAGATACTTTCGATCCTCATGCAAGAACAGCAGAAAGGAATTATTTCAGGGCTTAGTTCTCTGCTTGTTGCTCAAGAACATGGTAGTTCTAACCAGTGAGTGTGTCAAGTTGATTTTTGTGTGTGAGACAGGGTCTCACTATAGCCCAGACCCAGGCTGGCCCCAAACTGGAGATCCTTCTGGCTCAGCCTTCAGAGTTTGAGATTATCATCAGGTTCCACCGTGTCTGGCAGATCCAGCTTTTGTTGTACTTTTAAGAAGTACAAGCTAGGGCTGAACAGAACCTTCTATGAAGTAAGTTTCCTTTCAGTTAGGTTGGTGAGCAGATTTATGTGAAATTGGGAAATGTTTCTGAGCTCAAGTGCCATCCTGCACTGAGCTCATGGCAGTAGTTGTTGCAAACCTGTGAAGTCTCTGTCAGTGGCTTGAGATGCTCAACAGCAACAGGGGTCTGGCCTTGATCTCTTTCTGGGGCAAAAAAAAAAAAAAAAAAGCCAAAACCAGCTCACCTCTATCCCTTTTCAAAAGGCAGAGCTAAGAAAGTGCTTTCCAGGTTGAAGTTAGGCATGAGAACTTCTGTGCTGGCCCCAGGGCAGTATGCTTAGTGTTCCGTTTCACGTGCTGTTTGACTGTAATGCACTGACCTGTTGTATTTTAGCATGTACATTGCCGTTTTTATCCAGCCTTTCCCATGGTCCTTCTACACGGCTTCTGTCTTCATTGGAATTGCAGCTGCTGGTGAGCATCTCTTAAACCTGCCTTCCTGGGGTGCGGGTGCTGTTTACATGGTAGGTTGGGAAGCTGCCTGATGTCCCTCTTCTGATGAACCGTTGGTTTGAATTTTAGTACTTTGGACAGCACAAGGAAATTGCCTGACGATAAATTCCGATGAGCACACAATCGGGAGAAACAGCGGCATTTTCTGGGCACTCTTGCAGTCTAGGTAATCTCTTTGGGGCTCAGTCTATCCCTGGGTTTCTTCTTGACTAGATCTTGATTGTGTGGTCCAGATCCATACTTTATGAATTATGTAAAGTGCATGGAACTGTCTTACTACAATCTAAAATTGCAAACAAAATATTAACCTCCACGTATTCAGCATCCTCTGTGTTTTAGGCCTTTTGGGTTATTTAATTTCATATTACCTTCACACAAACCCAGAAGATGGAAGGCATTATCTGTATCCTACACATGAGAAGACAGAGGCTAAGTGTTAACTTGGGTAAACACGGTTATCTGGAGTCAGGAGCCACATCCTTCCCACCAAGCTGCACTGCCTGATAGCTGTGGGTGAATACACCAAATTCAGAAGGGTACCAAGTCGCTGGTGCCATATCCATTGGTACCAAGTCTGAACCATACACAGTAGGTATTTCTGAGAGGAGGAGCAACAGCAGGCATTGTAGTTAGGACCGTTGGGTCTCCGTAGTGTGTCCTAGGAGTGTGGTGTGATGGCGTGCACCTGCAAGGCCAGCACTCAGGAGGTAGGAGCCGGAAGACTGTAGTGAGTTCAAGGCCAGCCTGGAGCCAGTAAGATAGCTCAGTGGATAAAAGCACTTGCCACCAGATCTAATGATGACCCACGCGGTAGAAGGAGAGAACAGCTCACCAAGTTGTCCTCTGACTTCCGGTTGTATACTGTAAAAATGCATACCTCCCATACGCAAGCAACTGAATGTAATTTAAAAAAAATTTTTAAAGAACTTCAGTTTTTCACAAGACTTAATTTTGAATGTTTAGTTGATGGTAGTGGTAGGGATTTTTGTTTTGTTTGGTTGAGACGGTTGGGAGTCACACAAGGCTGGCCTTAAACTCTTGGACTCAGTGTGATTATTTTCCTACAAGCCTCCCAAGTAGCTGAGACTATAAGTGTACCCCACCGTGCCTGGTGCCAAAGTTTAGTTTTAAGGACTTAGAGATTTAAGAAACAGGAGAGCCATCGAGTGGCCATTCTTAGGAAAGTATGCCAAACGGTTGGAGGTGTGGATGCTTAAATTACATGGCTTTTTCACAGACTCCTTAAATTTTAGGATTTAGAAGTAGCATAAGTTTGTTTCCAACTTACTCCGAGAGTCCCAGTAAGTCACGTGTGTCAAAGTGAGTCAGTCCCGAGGGGCGGTGCCGAGTCAGGTTGCTGTCACATGCATCTGGTCAGTTGACTTTCTCAGAAAGCCAGGTAGAGTTGATACTGGAACCTAGGGCAGGTAGGTCCTTTACAAAGTCACCTCCCCCTTTTCTCCTCTGCCTCTTTTCCTTCTTCAAATAATGGGAGCGGATTTTTAAAGCCCTACGTACGTGCTTGGCACAGCGGCCCAGCACACAGGAGGCAGAGGGAGGTGGATCTTGAGTTCCAGGCCAGCCAGGGGTACATAGTGATACCCTGTTTAAGGAAATAAGTAAACATAACCCCAAGAATTCCAGTGATTCCCCAGCATCTTCTCCCTTTCTCCCCCACAGCTTGTTCTTTGGAAATCTCTACATATATTTTGCCTGGCAAGGGAAAACTCAAATTTCAGGTTGGTCTTATTCACATTGCTTTATTCAGATGTTTTGAAAGCAGAACCACAGTTCCACAGAAATGCCCATCACTGCCCTGTCCTTTCAGTGAACTTTGGCACCCTGAGGGTTCTTGTGATACTTGCTTTTTTAGAAGCTTTTGCCTTAGAGTCATTAAGTGAAGGTTAGAGTTCATGACTGTGCTTTGCAGGGCACCTCCAAGTAAGCCAGGTCATGCCAAGTGTGTACGTGCTAGCCAGGCTCCCGAGTGCTAGGAGTGTTCAGGTGTTGGATCTGTGCCCTCCTTCAGTTAGAAGGAAAGAGAAGTTGTGTTCTTGACTGCTGTTTCTTTAGCTTGTTAGCTAAAAGAACGGTGGAAGTGGCTGTCTCTAGGTTTTTCCTCATGCTTTATAATGTGATGAGGAAATGTTTCCCACCCATCGACAGCCAGTGGGCATGACACTTAACTGGCATGGGTTCACTAGTGTCGTACACTCTTGTCTTTTTGTCTCTAGAGAATGACCGAAGGACAGTGTTCATTGCCCTCACAGTGATAAGCCTCGTGGGGACAGTTCTATTCTTTCTCATTCGGAAACCAGATCCTGAGAATGTCCCTGGAGAAGAAGAGTCTTGCGATGACCAGGACATGGAAGCCACTGAGTAAGACGCCCAGAACATTCTTCTTGTTAGGGTAGATTTTGAGGAATTGTGGTCTGGGGATTAATGGACTGTTTTACCACAGTTACTCTCTGACAGTCAGGCATGGGGAGACCTTTCAAGAAAAGATGAAGGAGAGCCATGGAGGACAGAGAAGTGAAGGACTAACTGTGGAAGGGAGGCCTTGAACGGTTCCTCAGGGACTTCCACAGCTGTTGGGTGGCCCTCAGAGTAGCAAAAACCCTACCATGTCCCTAGGCCTCAATTTCCTGCTCTGCCCAGCAGGCCCCTGCTTTCCCATGGGAGGCTGGGCTGATAGGTGAGCGAGATAGGCGCTCTGCCTTCAGTCCTGTGCCTGTGGGCCAGCTCTCAAGCTTCCCAGCGTACCAGTGCTGTGGTGTGGGTGAGTGGCAGAGCGCTGCAGTTCTTGAGGAGCTGCCTCTTGGCTGATGGTTTCCAGCTCCTGTGGTGACCTGAGCACATTTCTTTCTGGTTTTGAGATGGGATCTCACTGTGTGTCTTAGGCTAGCCTGTTGAGATCCTCTAGAATTGCCAGTGAGTCCCAGCACACCGAGTTACCTGAGCATGTGTCAAGAGTGACATTATTTCAGATGTTATAGATCCACTGAACAAAGTGGCACATGTCTGTAGTCCAAGTACATGGGAGATGGAGGATACTGCATAAAAAGGTCAAGGCCAGCCTAGACTACATAAGACTTGTTTCAAAACCATACAAACAAAAAATTATAGGTGGTTTGTCTGCAGTATCATTTAGATCAGGGGCAGAGTTTTATTTTGGTTTTGTCAAATTAAGATTTTTTTCTTACAAATTTTCTTCCATTGTTAAAACTTTTGTATTGAGCATTCTATTGCCATTTATTTGTTTTTGTTTTTTTTTTTTTTTTTTTTTTTTTTTTTTTTTTTTTTTTTTTTTTTTAGACGGGGGTCTCACTGTGTAGACTAGACTGGCATCAAACTCACAGAGATTTGCCTGTCTCTGCCTCCTGAGTTCTGGAATTAAGGGCATGTGCCACTATGCCTAGGCTTCTGTGTTGCCTTTTTAATTAACAAAGAACTCAAAAAGTCCAGTTGAAAATTTTCACTTAGTATTTAAAATGAAGGGGACCTGGTCTTTGGTTGAGCATGTGTTACATACAAGTCATGTATCACATGAAGGCTTTCTGTTAGTGGCAGACTGTTGTGTGATAGTTAACCCATAAGACTGTGTCACCTAGCAAGGCTCAGCATACTCTGTGTGAGTGTACTCTGGGATTTGTTCAGCAGAACCGTTAAGGATTTGTTTCTCGGTGCTGTGATAACAGCATTAGTCAGCAGGAATTGGAAAAGGGTATAGTATATCTAAGTATAGTTCCAGCCAGGCTCAGTGGCGCACGCCTGTAATCCCAGTACTCTGGGGGGCAGAGGCAGGCAAATCTCTGTAAGTTCAAAGCCAGCCTGGATTACAAATTTTGTCCAGGACAGCCACAGCTACACAGAGAAACCTTGCCTTGCAACGCCCCCTCTCTGCAAAAGAAAAAGTATAGTTCTTGGGAATGTTGCTCAGCTTGTTTAACATTCTCTTATTCTGAACTGTCTCCTGCACATGAAACTTCCAAGTCTTCGTTTTGCAAATAATCCCAATGTGTGCCAGCCCTGGCCCAGCCCCTGTTCTTAATGGACCTAAAGGAGTGTTAGAGGCAGCAGAAGCGATACACCTGTAAGGGAATCCCAGAGTGCCCTTAGCATAGCCCAAATGCTCTTGTCTTCATGTCAGAAGATTTATTCTTTTACAGTTTTAAAAGAAATTGTTGTATTTCATGTGTATGGTTGTGTTTGCCTGCGTGTGTATCTGCACCACATGTGTGCCTGGTGCCGTTAGAGAACAGAGGAGGGCATCGATCTCCTGGCATTAGAGTTCCAGTTGTGGGTCACCATGTGGATGGGAGGAACAGAGCCAGGGTCTCAGGAAGAGCAGACTGCTTTTAGCCTTGAAGCCATCTCTCTAGCCTCTTTCAGTTTTTATCACGTGTATCTGCTTGTGTGTATGTGTATCTGCGCAGGCAGTCCTGTGCTGTGGTGAACACATGGAGGTCAGAGGATACTTCCGGGGGTCAGCTCTTTTCACCATTGTGGGTCCCACAGATTAAATTGAGGTCACCAGACTTGCTATCGGGTGCTGACACCATCTTGCCAGCCCCAGATAGTTAGGGTTTTAAAGAATTTGGATGCTGGGAGGTTTCCTGTTTATTTAAGAAGAATAGTCGGACATAGGGCCCTCAGATTCTGACAGATTGAAAACGGCAAGGTTAGGAATGTGTGTCTGAGCTGGGTAGAGGTTGGCATATATGTGCAAAGCCTGGATTTGATTCTGGGGCTGAGTGTAAACAATACTCTGTTGTTTCTGGGGTAAACAACACTTTTGTAAACAGCAATACCAAAGTATTTGTGCCTTCCTCTAAGTGTCATTTTCAGAAAGGAGTCAGATGAGTTAGCGTGTGCAGAAGGCCGCCGTAAGGAGAGGGTCCTCCACTGCTCAGAATGGGGAGCTTCTGGGAAGCACATTAAGCCCTCTGAAGACCAGGACCAAGGCGGTCCCTCAGAACAAAGAGCACCGAGACTCATTGGATGGACTTGGAAGGCATCATGGAGCCAGAGCTTTGGTTTGGTTTGAGAGAGGGTCTCACTTTGTAACTCTGGCTGGCCCAGAACTCCCTGAGATCCCCCTGCCTGTACCTCTGATGTAGTGAAATTAAAGGAGTGTGCTATCACGCCTGGCCAGGTCCAGAGATTTTGCAAACCTCAGTGAAAGGGGGGGGGGGTGATCTTGGCCATGTGCTACTTTTGATCTCTTTGTAGTTTCCAAGGGTCAAAACAGTCTTATTTTATTTTCCCAGGTCTGCCCAGAACAATGTGACAAAGGCAGTAGATGCGTTTAGTAAGTATTTTCTGTGCCTGAAATGCAGGAAGTATTCAAACACACTTAAGCATTTGCCTTCCCCCTTTCCCTGGTAACTGTGGATTGATGATCCCCAGTGTTTTCAGACTTCCAGGTATACGCCTCTAAAATACAGTAATCTTCCCACTTCCCACCAGTGTCTCTCTAACGTGGGGGCATGAGGGATGAATGATAATGCTGCCCACCTGAGGAGGGGTCTGAGCGGTGGGGTGGGGACTCTGTGTTGATGTGGGGAGGTAAGAGCAGTCCTTGGAGCAGAGCCATGGCCACAGTGAGCCAAGACGTAGGAAGAGCAGCCGCACTCGTTCCGTGGGTGTTGTTTTTTGTTTTTGTTTTCCTGGCCACAGATGCCGGTAAAGTTTCTGTATCATATGCACAGTGCTTCTAAGGATTCTGTACACACAGGCAGTTACTCTATGGAGCCGAGTGCTGCAGGCCTTCAGCGCTCAGGACTTGAAGTGCCTGTGGCCCTTGGGGAGATGAACAGTTGTCAGGTCCCTTTTGCCTGAGTAGAACTTCTTGACCTCATCAGCTGATGCCTGGCTTGGATGGCTTGAGGCCTGTTTTTAGAAAGGACCTAGGATGTGAGGCGTGGATACTCTGTCATTAGAGCTGTTTAATCCGGCTGTTATGCACTTCCTGTGTTTGAGGGATGCGTTCATAATTATAAATTGGGGCTTCGTGTATAAGCAGATAAGGTATACCAAAATGAGACCAAAATGAGAGGTCACCAGAGGTTTGGCTTTCCGTTTTGTATTCTAGGAACTTGTCTACCAGAAGATCTGCCCACGGTCAGGGAGTCAGAGGACCCAAGTTAAACTCACAGAAACTCCAATGTAGCAACTTTTTTAGACTGATTTGCACAGTGTAGCCCAGGCTTGTCTGAAACCTATTGATCCTTCCGTTTCAGCTGTGTGTTTCTATTACTTGATGGGCAAGAAAATCAGTCATCATCCTTAGCTATTGAGGAGTTCAAGGCTAGCCCAGGACACAAGAGATTCTGTCTCAAAAAAAAAAAAACAGATAAAATTTTGCATGCATGATAGTCAGTGTCTGTAATCCTTACACTTGGAACACTGTCAGGAAGATTGGCTTGTTCCAGACCATCTTGGACTACGTAGTAAGTTTCAGTATAGCCTGAGCCAGAGGGAGGCCCTGTCTTCAGTGTATGTGGGCACCACTTTTAGAAATGTGTTCTCCTGTAGATCCACACTGCTCAGTGCAGAGGCGGAGGTTGAGGTGGCTGCGAAACACCAGGCCTGGAAGCCACAGCCCGGCTCTGCAGTCAGTCTCAGCCAAGGACTCTGCCGACCCACTCCCTGCGTAGCCTCTCAGTGTCTGCTCAGCTTATCATTGTCTTGTAATTCTGGTTTCTTTCCCTTCCCTTCAGGTTGTTATTAAGAGCTGAAAACACATTGAGGACAGTGTGTCTCCAAAATGTATTTGAACGCTTGAAACAAGCGTTCTATTGACAGGGCAGACTTCGTTCATGTCTCAAAGCCTTTTAGTCTGAAAATTTAGGTTCTTTGTCTACTGGCCGCCGTGCTGAGAGGAGTGCTCTGGCTGAAGTAAATGATTTTAGAACTTTGGTTGCCAGCTAAAACTTAGCTAAGTCTATCCCACTTTTCTCTTTATAGAGAACTCTCTGAAGTTGTGCGTCACCAAGGAGATGCTGCTCCTGAGTGTTACGACTGCCTACACAGGTACAGCTGCTGTCATGATGATGCCAAGGCTAACACCAGGAGCTTGCAGTGCTTTTCATGCTCTACTCTGACTGCCCAACGCCATTCTGTGTCTCCTCCCAACGCTGCTTTCAGAGGGCAGCTACAGCCAGAGCCACCAAGACTGATGGAAGCCTGAATCATAGTTTGCCAGTCAGTCTTTCTTGTCATGTTGTGTTGGGGCTCTGCCCCTCTATCTGTGTAAACTCCTCCCTCCCTCCCTCCATGAAGTCTTCATGTGATTGACAGGAGAGCCAGACATCACAGCGGCTAAAGGCACCAAAAAGACACCAGGAAAAGCTGACCAGCTTTTCCTAAAGGTCTCTCCTGGACCTAGCCTTGTGTCATTTCTATTGCTGTTGGTGACAGCCAGTCACAGAGCCAGCCCCAAATTCAGTGTGGGAGGATCCTAACCAGAGCAGGAACAAGACCTGGGTAGCCTGGACCAGTGAGGTGAGAGCATCAGGGAGCAGTGCAGGACATAACCAGGAAGGGGCCCCTGTAACTCTAGCATCACCTTGGGGAGGTAGTGGCAGCGTGAGAAGGGGATGTGAAGATGGCTGCAGCACTTAGTCTTAAGAATGAGGTAGTGCCAGCCCATAAACCCAGCACTGGGAGGCCGAGACAGGAGGATTGCTACAAATTCAAGGCTAGCCTGAGCTACCGTGGAGATCTGTCTCAAAAACAAGATGAGTAAGGTGACCTGAGTTGGTTACTGGAACTCGCATGGCAGAAAGAGGGAACTGACTCCCTGTGTTGGCCTCTCACCTCACACACAAACACACTTAAAGTGTTGTGACAGCCCAGGCACTTGGCTTTTACTTGCCTCCTTTTAGGAAAGCAGCTAAATATATATATTTTAAAAGTTTTGTAGGCATAAGGAGCAGAGGATTTACTGACTTATCCTAATTTGTTACTTAATTTTATCTTATTTTTTATGTGTGAGTGTTTTTGTCTGCATGTATGTCTGTGTGCCACGTGTGTGTTGCTGCTGGTGGAGGCCAGAACAGGGTGTCAGATCCCCTGAGACTTCAGTTACAGACGATTGTGAACTGCCATGTGGTTACTGGGAACTGAACCCAGGTTCTATGGAAAGGCAGGCAGTTCCTTTACCCACTGAGCCCTGGCTGCAGCCCACCCATGTTTACTCTGACTTCAGAAACTTCCTTTGCCTGTTGGACAGATTCTGTGAAGTATTGCTGTCTGTAAGGAGCAGCTGATGGTGTCCCTGGCTCTCCAGGGCGGCTTGCTTACCAAGGCGATGAGCCCTTTGGTATGTGCTGTTTCTGTCTGCTGATTGCATCCTTGCCGTCTCCTGCATTGCGAGCAAGCTGTACAGAAGGATGCCTGTTGTGTTTTTATCAAAGACATGGGAACTGCTCTTTTGTGGTTTCTTTCTTTGAGCCTCTGGAAAACTTACCACAGAGTAGGTGGTTTAAATCAGGGGCTTTTAGAACTTTTTATACTCTGGATCTTCACCCTAGAAATTTCTGTGTAATTTAACGTAGGTACACAGAGCTGGGGAGGTGGTGGTGCACACGTTTAATCTCAGCACTCAAGAGGCAGAGGCAGACCAGTTTCTGAATTTGAGGTCAGCCTAGTCTACACAGAGGAACCCTGTCTTGAAAAACCAACAGAAAGGAAGGAAGGTGTACAAATCATTTATTGATAATCATAAAGAAATATATTTTAAAACAATGATTTAACATATTTATAATTTTACTGTTTATTAAAGATGAAAGCAGATTAGCATACTCATGAGATAGGGTGTGCTTGTGTGTTCTAGAGAGGGTGGTACAGTGGTCAGCACAGCTGATCTTCCAAGAGTTAATCTTGCCTGAGAGTTTAATAGTGCAGGGCAGGTAGGATCTTTTAAAAAGAGTTAATGTTTGACTTTTAATGACATGCATGTGTGTATACACACACATGTGGCTGTTGGACCCCTGGAGCTGGAGTTGAGGGAAGTTCTGAGCCAGCCGACATGAGTGCTGGGAGCTCTGATCCTATGTCAGAGCAGCACAGTTTTCATTGCTGAGGCATGTGCAGACCGCATCCTTGAAGTTTTTAAGTTGGTGAATGTTTTGATTTTGTAGTTCTCAGTGTGGAGACTCTGCTTTTCGTAAATACCTAGAACAAAATGATAGAAGTATATTTAGGATCATTTCAGAAATTGTTGGATATTCTGTCCTAACCCCGAAACAAATATATATATATATATACATACATATATATGTATATATATATTGCCGTTCTTGTTTGCTTGCTTGCTTTTATTTTTGAGACAGGATCTCCTACAGAGCCCAGGGTTGCCTAGAACTTAGTGTGAAACTGAAGTGACCTTGAACTCTTGATCCTTCCTACTTTCTCCACCTCAAAAGTTCTAGGATTACCATTTAATGGTAAATTTTTAATACAACTCAAACTGCAGTGTTTAAAATCACGCCTGTGATCCCAGTGTGAGTTTCAGATGTGAGCATGACATGAGACCTTGTATCAGAAAAAAAAAAAAAAAAAAAAAAAAAAACAAAAAAACAAAAAACCTGTGGCTGGACAGGTAATGCAATTGCATAACTGAGTGGCACAGCATTTGCCCAGCAAGTGAGGGCTGTGGGTTCAGTCTCTAGCCATTGGGGTGGGAGTAGGGAGCAACTCAGAAAACAGATTGGAGAGATGGCTGAGATGACTCAGCAGTTAAGAGCACTTGTTACTCTTCTAGAGGGCTCAGCTTTGGCTCAGCCACATGGTGGCTCATAGGTAACTCTACTTCTAGGATCCAATACCCTCTTCTGGTCTCGGTGGGCACTGCACCCATATTGTGTATGACATACCTGCAGGCAAAACACCAAACACACTAAAATAAATCAGCCCGCTCAAGTGGTAGCATGCCTTTAACCCCAGCACTTGGGAGGCATAGGCAGGTAGATCTCTTGAGAGTCTCAAGCCAACAAAGTCTGCAGAACAAGTTCCAGTACAGCCAAGGCAACACAGAGAAAGCTTGTCATAAACAAACAAACAAAAGCTTTTTTTAAAAAAGCAAAAATCAAAACTAGTCTGAGCCTGATGTAGTGGCACATACCAGCAGAAAGATGCAAGTTCAAGGCCAACCTTAGCTTCATAGTGAGACCTTGTCTCAAAGAAACACTAGCAGCTGCAAACCATGCTGATTTCTCACAGTTCTGGAGGTGAGGATATCAGCCTGTGTCAGCATGGTCAGGCTGTCTCCTAGCTGTCATCTTGCTGTGGTCACAGGGCTGGCAGAAAGAGCAGGAAGCAAGCCGCCTGGGTGTCTGTAAGAATGCTGGTCCCATCATGAGGCAGCCATCATGTGATCTGTTCCTGCAGAGGCGCCATGTCAGGGAGTTCAGTTTCGTGTTGCCTTTGGGAGACTTACACAGCATAAAGCTGCCCGCTTGGGAAGCATTTCAGTCTCTGCATTTTGGTTTATGTGTTCTTGCCAAGTGTGTCCAGCTCAGCTGCTACTAGAAACAAAGCAGTAGTGGAAAAAGGAGACTGCTGTACAGTTAAGTCAACCCTGATTTCCCCCTTAGGTCTGGAGCTGACATTTTTCTCTGGGGTGTATGGAACCTGTATTGGAGCTGTAAACAAATTTGGGACAGAGGAGAAAAGCCTCATTGGACTCTCTGGAATTTTCATCGGCATTGGAGAAATTTTAGGTAGGTTGGTTGGATCTGTTTGTTTGTTTTGTTGTTTTTTCGAGACAACGTTTCTCTGTGTAGCCCAGGCTGTCCTGGACTCGCTTTTTAGACCAGGCTGGCTGCAAACTCACAGCAGTCTGCCTGCTTCCCTCCCCGAGAGCTGGAATTAAAGGTGTGGACCAACATGCTCAGCGAGATTTTGTTTTTTTAGCTTAAAAACCTTTTATTCAGAATCAAGCTGGAAAGCTGGTGCTGTAGGAGTGCAGGGCTAGCCTGGGCAATAAAAGGAGACCCAGTTTCAATTTTAAAAAGGAAGAAAAGCCAGGCATGATGGCTAGGAAATTCATTCTTGAGTCTTGAAAGGTAGAAGCAGGATGATGGAGGAATTCAAGGTCATCCTTGTCTGTATAGTGAGTTTGGGGTCAGCCTGGACTACTTAAGACCTTATCTCAAAAAAAAAAAAAAAATTGTTAGAATAAAGATAGAAACCTTAAGTCTTCTTCACCTCTCTGTTGTTGAGTTTTTAATTTTCCATACTTAATTTTATTCAAATGGGTATTATTTTATTTTTCTGTCATAACTTTTTTTATGATTTTTTTAAATTTTATTTTATTAATTACACTTTATTCACTTTGTATCCCCCCATAAGCCCCTCCCTCCTCCCCTCCCGATCCCACCCTCCCACCCTCTTCTTCACGCATGCCCCTTCTCAAGTCCACTGATAGGGAGGTCCTCCTTTCCTTCCTTCTGATCTTAGTCTATCAGATCTCATCAGGAGTGGCTGCATTGTCATCTTCTGTGGCCTGGTAAGGCTGCTCCCCCCTCAGGGGGAGGTGATCAAAGAGCCAATCAGATTATGTCAGAGGCAGTCCCTCTTCCCCTTACTATGTAACCATGGGACACTGAACTGCCATGGGCTACATCTGTGCAGGGGTTCTAGGTTATCTCCATTCATGGTACTTGGTTGGAACATGAGTCTCTGGGAAGACCCCTGTGTTCAAATTTCTGGTTCTGTTGCTCTCCTGTGGAATAACTTTTTTTTTTTTTTAACTTTTGCTTCTTTGTGTGTGTATTTGGGTGTGAACACACAGGCCAGTAGGGACCTCTAGAGTCCTTGATCACTCTCCATCTGTTTCTTTGAGACAGGATCTCTCCCTAACCTTAGATAGAGTTCATAGTTTCTTGAGTAGGCTGGAAGCCTTTGAGGCCCAGCAGTCTTCCCTGCCATCTTTGGAGCAGAGCTTGTTACCTGGGTGCTGGAATCAGAACCCTGGTCACGGTGATGGGTCCTGGGCAGGTGTGCAGTTAGGCAGGCTCGGCTACACTGTGGGCAGGAGGCGTGTGATTAGCAGGATTGGTTACACTGGTCAGCTGTCAATGCTGGTTTTGCAAGGTGGTTCAAATAACTCCTTGTTGCTTGAGGGAACAGTCTGGTTCTCATGGATGAATGCTCCTGCTTACGGTGCTGTCATCACAGGGTGAACTGTCTGTCAGGCTTTGCTGTTTCTACAGTTCACATGGATGGCTAGAGACCTGCTGCACCTTTGTGGGGGACTGGAATAGGAGACTGTAAAAACTGACAGTAAGGTACCCCAAGACTCTTAGCTGTGCTTTCAGCCTCAAAACAGGATGAGATGGGTTGGATACCATCAGTTATCACAGACTCATAGTGACTAATGTGTGTGCAGAACTAAAGAGAGTGGCTGGGCGAGCAGACAGCAGATAAAAAGGGAAGGCGAGGCCAGGCTTCCTCCTGTCCTCAGTTTCCTTATGGGCACAGGTGAGTCAGCGCTGTTGGCGAAGGCAGTTCCTAAGTGCCTGTGACAGTCCTGCAGATCACCCTCACTTCACACTAATCACAGCTCGGGAGTCCCCAAGCCAACCCTGTCTCACTTGACCCCAAAGTCAGGATTTCTCACAAATTCCCCTTCAGGGTTAGACAGAGCTGACAGAATTCAGGAAAATTCTGTATGTGCTCTGTTGTTCATTAAGAAGAATGCAGGTTAACAGGGTGCTAGGCACTCCAAGAGTTGTTTTCCAGAGGGAATGGACTTGGCACAGGTGGCCAGGGTACAGTGTGGATCTCATTGTATACCGACCAGATTCCAAGTCACCTCAAGTGTTTATCACTTCCTCATGTTATGGACACAAACTTTCCACATCATCTCTACTAGCTACTTTGCAACCTACAGCTTATTGTCATTAGCCATAAGTACCCCGCTGTGCTATAGAGCATTGCTTTTTTTTTTTTTTTTTTTCCTGCCGTCTTGCTATGTAGCTCTTGGATGACCTGGAATTCACTATATAGAATAGGCTAGCCTCAAACTTGTTTCATGTGTGTACCACAAGCCCTGTTCACATTAGAAGTTTTTTAACTACTAACTTTTTTTTTTTTTGTGCCAGGAATTGCCTGGAGCTTATACATACTAGACTAAACACTCTACCACTGAGCCAGCTGCTTAGTCCCCCCCCCCCCCCTCCGCTTTTGAAACTCTGAGACAGAATCTCACAAAGTGACCCAGCCTGGCTTTGAACTCACTGCTCTTCGGGCAGGCTTTGACTTTTTGCTCCTCCCCCTGAGCCTTCTCAGTCACTAGATCTATAGGACATGCCACCGGCCTTGGTGCTAAGCTGTTATGATGGGTTATGATGGGTGAACCTTCCTGAAAGCCTTTGTCACCACCTGTATTTTCACAGTGGTTGCTTCCAGTCATGGTGTCTGTTAGGATTGTAACAGAGGTATGGGGTGGGTGACACGTGTCTAATCCCACCACTGGGGAGGTGGAGGCAGGATCAGCCTCAGAATAACAGTAGTAGTTTATGTGTTACATCCTTCCATTTCACTAATTAGCTAGAGCAAAGATGCTCATTTTGGGTGTAATAACTCACAGAAAGAATAGCGAGAACATTGCTGGCTAGAAGTGCAGCTGGTATTGATGCTATAGTTGTGAGTTCTGTGGTCATCCTTGCCATTTCACTGTGATGGCCTGCTTTGGGGCAGGTAGCTGACATCTCACAGTTCATTCTGTGACTCTGCATTATAACCTGTGGCTGGTTCTGTGGAAATGGAAACCTCTGAAGTGTCCTGTGTCTTAATCCACAGGTGGAAGCCTCTTTGGCCTGCTGAGCAAGAACAATCGCTTCGGCAGGAACCCAGTCGTGCTGCTGGGCACCGTAGTGCACTTTTTAGCCTTTTACTTGGTCTTTCTCAATATGCCCGGAGATGCACCCATTGCCCCCGTGGAGGGAACTAACAGCAGTGCATACATCAGGCCCAGGTATGGTGACTGCCCTTTTCTGAGTGGTTTGAGGGTGGGCAGGAGGAGCCAATGGCTGGAAGTTTGAAGTGGAGCACTTAGTTCCCCTTAGAGTCTGTCAGCTTTGCAGGTCATTTGTCAAGTGTTGAGAGAGCTAGGAGGAGTGGAAGTAGAAACTCAGAGCGCCCAAAGGTCGTTTTGCAGTGGTTGCTTTTAACCTGTCCCCTCCTGGGTCCTCCATTGACCTAAGCAAGAGTACAGAAGGGTCTGATGGGAATTTTATCCTCTTGCCTTTTGAGCAGCGAGCTATCCCAGGGTTAGAGGAGGGAACGAGGTGAGGCAGAGTCTGTCAGCTGTGTGGGCTGCTCAGTCCTTCATGGTCTAGGCATGTTGGTTGGTTGCATTCGACTCATAATTCATTATATAGATGGTGTCTTTGGATAAACCCACAAATCCAAGGGAGCCTAGCCCAAAAGACAGTCGACCAAAGACCAGAGTTGGCTAGAATGTTAGGTCTGTGCTTTAAGCATAGTTTCTTACTGTCCCGATAGACTCTAGTAGGCAGGCTGGAGTTGTAACACTGAGTGTAAAATGTTTGTTTGCTTGGAGCAGGGCATGTTGGCACATGCCTGTAGTCCCAGCTCTCGGCAGGCAGAGGCAGGCAGATCTACCTAAGTTTGAGGCCAACCTGGTTATACAAAGAGAATCCCGGGACAGACAACCAGAGCTACACGGAGAAACCCTGTCTCAAAAAAAAAAAAAAAAAAGTTTGCCTCAAGTTTGGCAGGCCCTGGGCTTAATCCCCAATACCACAGAAAAGGCCTCACGGTGTTAATATTCATTCTTTTGCACACTTGTGACCTTAGCTCTGAGGAGGCTGAGGTTAGAGATTCACAAGTTCCAGGCTAGCCTGGGTTCTGCTTTGGGGCTGAGACCTACAGCAGTGGGGAGTTGCTAGGCTCCATCCCCAGCAGCCCTCTTCCAAAAAAACACAAAACAAGGGCTGGAGAGATGACTCAGAGGTTAAGGGCACTGGCTGCTTTTCCAGAGGTCCTGAGTTCAATTCCTAGCAACCACATGGTGGCTCATAGTTATCTATAGTGAGGTCTGGTGCCTTCTGGCCTGCAGGCGTGTGTGCATGCAGGCAGAACATTGTATGTATAGTAAATAAACAAATCTTTAAAAAAAAGTATGAACCACTTTCCTTAGCAGCATTGTTTTTATATTTGGTGATAGAAAATATTGGTGCTCTGCATTAATTTTTTTAAACATTCATTTTTATCTTAGTTTTGAGACAGAGTTTTTCTACAAAGCCCTGCAATTCACTGTGTAGACCAGGGTGGCCTCAGACTCACAGAGGTCCATTTGACTCTGCATTCCAAGTGCTGGGGTAAAAAGCGGGTACTGCCACCATCGGCATATATTTTTTTTTAATTACGTGTATATGTGTGTATGGGGAGGGTACATATTTGAGTTCAGGTGCCTGTGGAATCCAGAAGAGGGTATTCCCTGATTCTAGAGTCACTAGTGCCTGTGAACCATAGGAAGTAGGTTCTGGGAATCAAACTCAGGCCCTCTGCAGCAGGAGCAGGTGCCTCTAACCACGGAGCCATCTTTCCAATCCTGTGTGTATTTTTCTTCAGCAAAGAAGTTGCCATTCTCTGCAGTTTTCTGCTGGGGCTGGGAGACAGCTGCTTCAACACCCAGCTGCTTAGCATTCTGGGTTTTCTCTACGCAGAGGACAGCGCGCCAGCCTTCGCAGTCTTTAAGTTTGTTCAGGTACAGTCCGTGTCCTTCTGTTCTCCTTGGTCACTCCTTCCGTTGGGCATGCTGCAGAGAGAGTTGTGAGTAGGACCTGGGCGCAGTGGGCATGGTTGGGTGAGAGATTTTCGTTCCCGTCTCTGCACTCAGATAAACCCTCCATTCTGTTTTCTCAACACGTGCCCACACTTCTCGCTCTGCATTTCTCCTGTTACTGTAGTGCCCACAGCTTACTTGATTGTTGCTGCCGAGCAAGCTTGGGGTACAGTCATGAGCTGGTGACCATTGAGGTCTGTCTGCTGGGCGCCGTCAGCCACAGGTGTCCTTTGCTGACTGCAGAGCAGCCTAGGCCTGGGGTTCACTTGGTGATTTCTCTTGTTCTTTCTAGTCCATCTGCGCAGCCGTGGCCTTTTTCTACAGCAACTACCTCCTCCTTCACTGGCAACTCCTGGTCATGGTGATATTTGCGTTCTTTGGAACCATTTCTTTCTTCGCTGTGGAGTGGGACGCTGCTGCCATTGTGGCCCGAGGCTCTGACTACCGAAGTATTTGATGAGGCATTCGTCTCAGGACACACAGCTGGCCACATCACACTGCTGGTTAAAGTGGCCACCTGTCAGTCTCAGACAGCTTGGCGGTGTGGAGTGTGGGAAGAGAGAGAACCCAGACTGTTAAGTCAGGTGGAGTTGCTATTAAAGTTTACAGATCCTGGCAGTTTAAAGCTAGTGGGAAATCCTGCCCATCAGTGACAGCTGGTCCGAGATGTTCGTCCTCCCCCTTCCTCAGCTCCTTACAATCATGTCTCCCTAATCCTCATGGAGAAGTCCTTTCTGGATCGCCATGTGTCATGGGGATTCTTGCTGGCTCTGGAGTATGTTTCAATATTTAGGAATAGGAAGCAGATGCCACTCCATGTGTGGATCTGGAAGTGACTTTCAAATAGATAGCAAGGATGCTGAGATACAGTTGTTTTTGAGACAGGGTCTCACTGTGTAGCCCAGGCTGGCCTTGGGCTTGCAGCCCTCCCCCTGCCTCAGGTGTTGGGGTTATAGTGTGTGCCCAACACAGGATTTAAAATGCTCCAGTCTTTTTGAGTTAGGATCTTGGCTGGCCTGGACTTTGTATACCAGGCAGTACTCCTGCCGTTGTCTCCAGAATGTTGGGGTGGTACGAGTATGCTACCACAGCGCTAGGCATGAGACCTTAACCTCTTTAAATGCCTTGTCGTTCCTAGCAAGAGGTGGCCAGTCACGTGTCATGAGGTAAAGACTGGGTCATGTGACAATAAAAGCATATTTAGAGAAGTAAAGAGTATTTCCTGGTGGAGGACTTCCGCTGTGATTTCCCTGACAGTTACAATAAAGAAAACTCCATCCTCCTAGCGGGCCCTGTGCAGCCATCCTGTCTGAGAGAATGCTTAAGGACCATCGACCGTCTTCTGCAAGAGCTGACGCTTCTGCGACGGAGTTATTAAATAACCTAAGCAATATCAGGTCTTCTCTGTACTCCAGGTTGGCTTCCAACTCTTGCTCCTGCAGCCTCAACCTCTGCCTCAAATTCAACATAATATGTGGGTGTACAGAAGGTTATATAACCATCATTTTATCTAATAATATTTTATTTTTAAATTCTTTTGTCCGCCTGTCTGTATGTGCACCGTGTGCTTGTCTGCCTGCAGAATATGTGGTGTACTTTTTTAAAAAAAAACCTTTTATTTACATTTCTTATATCTCTTCTCCCTACTCCACCCCAATCCCTTCCAACACCAATTAGGAGAGAGAGAGGCTTAGTGGGAGATGGGGTACAGTTCTCTTAGCTGCTTCCTGCTGGTTAGGGTTGTTGGGTTCCTTGGAGCCAGTCCAGTCCTTGTTTCAGATCTCCAACTTCTTGTCTCACAGCATCAACCAGGAGTGGCCTGTTCCTTTTCTGAGCTCCACACTCTCTGGGCTCTGGCCTTTATTTCCTCTCCAGAGCCCTTAGCTTTAAACTATCTGCAGCTGGCAAAGAGCCCCTCTCAGAGCCGCCATGAGGCAAACAGCCTGCTGCTGTGGACCATCCGAGTCAGTCCCACATCTGGGACCAGAACAACATGTGCATATCTACAACAGGATTCTTTGGGAAGATATAAATCTCAGTCATCAGGATATCCAGCAGAACCAGCAGCCTTCTTTCTCCATCCGTCTCCTGAAAGCATCCTTTCTTTCTCTGGGCTCTTGGTCTTTCTACCCTCTCAGAGTCCTCAGAGTTAAACCAACTGCAGCTGGCAAAAACCACACCTCTCTTCAAGCCCCATGAGGCTGTTAATCTGCTGTGGACATATCCCACACTTGGGATTTAAAAAAAAAAAAAACCAAAAAACTGTTCACCTAACAACTGAGTTTTTTAAAAAAAAAAAAAAAACTTCCCCTACACCCTCCCTTTAAATGTGTCTGTCTACAGTACAGTAAATCGAGCCCAGGGAAAAATTACATCTTGGTTTTCAGGACTTCTGGTTTTTCTGTTTTTGGAGGCATTTGGTATGTGTTTTCTGTCTCTCCCTCCTTTCTCTCCAGAGTGGTCTGGAACTCACAGAGAACTGCCTGCCCTCTTGAATGCTGGGGTTAAAGGTTTGGCCATCACACCCAGCCCTGTGACTTTGTTTGAAACAGGCCATAAACTTACAAGTTTTACAGTTGGTTGGGTAATTGGGAGGGTGGGATTTATTCTTACTGATTGTATATGTTTTATGCCTGTGTCAGAGGCAGAGGCGTTGGATCCCTGGAGTTAGAGTAGCTGTGAGCCACGAAATACAGGTTGCTGAGAAATGACCAAAATCAAGTCCTCTGCAAGAGCAGTACACACTCTTTACCCATAAGCCATATCTAGCTCCATGTTTCAGTGTTTGAGACAGGGACTTGTGTAGCCCAGGGTGTCCTTAGTCTTGCTATGTAGCATAGGCTGGCCTCACATTCCTGCTCCTTTTCCCACCTCCTGAATGTTGGGATTACAGGTAATCCCAGGTGTGCACTGTTTCTGAGTATTTGGTGGTAGGGCAGGAACCCACAGAGCCCTGCAGTCAGCTACCATCCTTACAGAAGACCCCTGTGTGGAACGTTGGGATCCGCCCTGGTTGTCAGCTTCTGGTTTTTGTTTTTTGTAAAACGGTTTCATGTAGGCAAGACTAGCCTCAAATTTGTTTTGTAGTTGAGTTTGGCCTTGAGCCCTGGTCCCCAGCTTCTGTGTCCCAAATGCTAGATTTCAGGAATGTACCACCAAGCCAAGGTAAGGTCTGGCTTGCTTTCTTGAAGTTGAGATAACCCCACAGCTCAGTTGACCTTGCTGTCTGTCTTAACACAGGGTCTGTTAGCTCTGATCATGTTGTTAAGTACACAGGTCTCTCTCTAAAAAGGCTCTCAGGCAGCAGTTCTCAACCTGTGGATCGTGACCCCATGTAGTCTGAGGTGCCCAGGGTAAAAAGTCTTGGCACAGCCAGCTAGATTCTTGGCTCATCCTTCAGGGCGGCAGAACCGGTCTGGGGCTGGCTCGCTATACTCCTGTCACAGGGGCTGTGTTCACCAAAGCAAGCAAGAAAGCCACAGGCAGAGCAAACGCCAAGACGGAAGCCCTGCGTCTTCCTAACTCTTGAAAATGCCATCCTGCCACTCACTTCTGCCTTCTGCTGGGGTGCCCCTCACTGCTTCCAGCATGATGAGGGGACAGGATCACACAGACCACCAGCACCACGGCTAATGGTTGACTGACTGTCACACCAACGTTTCCACTGAGGAGAAACCAGTTGTGCATACCTGAGCTTGTGTTCTCCCAGGCCCTTGCCAGAGATGGGCTGCTGAGCTGTGCAGGCAGAAGGCGGCCGAGCAGCCTCTTCCTAAACTTGGTGTTTCCAGATGAGGAAGCCATATCTTCTCTTTTTAGAGGATGCCTGGTGATTACTGTCAATAGGGAAAGGACATGTGTTGAAGTTTGGGAACCCAACTTCTAGTCTGGTACCCAACTGCTATGCCATGTTTCTCATTTTAAGCTCTGTGTGAATTCAAAGCCCACATAGGGAGTTCTGGACCATTCAAAGCAATACCATGGGACTATGTCTCAAAAACAAAACCAGCAACCAAAAAACCCAAAACCACAGCAAACAAACATGAAATGTGTGATTTGTGGTTTATGCAAAAGTGGACAAGTATTCATCTTTTAAAAGGGAGTCGTGGCACAGGATGCAACGTGGGTAAACCTAGAGGATACTGTGTTAAGTGAAATAAGCCAGCCAGCAAAAAAGTAGGTACTGCATGGCTCTCCGTCTATGAGGTGCCAACAGAGCTCATAGACAGTAGAGCGGTGGGCAGCAGGAGACAGCACAATGGCGTCTTTTAATGAGCAGAGTTTCAGCGTACAGACGGGGTCACACAGCATGGTGGGTACCATTAATACTCCTGGACATGTACCTCAGAAGACATTGAGGTAAAGTTTAGGAGGTCTCATAAAACATGTTTTGACAAACTGGAGACCTGCAGCAGGGTAGGCTCCTGGGAGGATTTGGGGGTGACTCTAGCTGAGACTCCTAACTGAGGGGCACATGGAGACTGAAGTGGCCACCTTCTAGCCAGGCAGGACTTCCAGGAGAGGAAGTCAGCCCACCCACAAAACATTCCACCCCAGATTTACCATTTACCCTGCCTACAAGAAGTGCAGGGATAAAGATGGAGCAGAGATAGAGGGAATGTCCAACCAATGACTGGCCCAACCTGAGACCCACCTCATGGGAGAGAGTCAACCCCTGACACTATTAATGTTACTCTGCTATGCTTGCAGACAGGAGCCTAGCATAACTGTCCTCTGAGGGCTTCACCCATCAGAAGGTCAAAACATGCTGAGACTCAAACCCAAACATTAGCTCTGGTAGTACTATGGAAGATTCGGAGGAAGGATAGAAGGACCCGGGGGCAGCAAGAACTCCACAAGAAAAGATCAGCAGAGTTGGGGCTGGAACAAGAGCTCAGTGCTTAAGAGTGCTGGCTGCCTCTCCAGAGAACCTGGGTTCAATTCCCAGCACCCCATTGCAGTTCACAACTCTCTGTAGCTCCAGTTCTAGGGGGTTTAACACCGTCAGGCATACATGTAGGCCAATGCACATAAAATAAAAATAAATCATCTTATAAGAAGACCAACAGAGTCAACTAACCTAGGCCCATGGGGGCTTACAGAGACTGAAGCACCAAACAGCATGCATGGTCTGGGGCTAGTAATGGGCAGCTTGGCTTTCATGAGGGTCCCCTAACAATTAGAGGTGGGGGCCGTCTCTGACATGGACTCTCTTGCCTGCTTTGCTTTTTCTTTTTTCTTTCTGGTATGAAAGATATTTATTGGATGGAGAGAGAGAGAGAAAAGGAGAGAGAGACAGGTGGCAGAGAAAGGGGAGAGAGCGGAGAGGGAGAGAGAAGAGGCAAGCCCTTTTTATCCTGAGCCCTCAGCAGCTATTGCCTGCCTTTTGATCACTTCCCTCTGGCAGGGCTGCCTTGCCTGGCCTCGGTGCAAGAGGATGTACTCAGTCCTGATGCTACTTGATGTGCTGGTGTGGGCTGATATGGGTCAGGGACCTCCCCTTTTCTGAGAAGAAGGGTTAGGGTTAAGGGTGAACAGGTGGGGCTGGGAGGAGGGGGGAGGGCTGCGTTTGGGTGTAAAGTGAGTAAATGAATAAACTTATAAAAAAAGACAAGGCGTGCAGACTAGAATCACCTTCAGTGTTCTGCGGCTTTAAAACCTGGCTAAGAAGATGAAGAAGAAGGAAAGTCTTGAGCTGAACGTGACGGTGCACACCTTTGATTCCAGCACTTGGGAGGCCTGCTTCCTGATCACTTCCCACTAATGGGGCTGCCTTGTCTGGCCTCAGTGGATGTGGATGAGCTCAGTCCTGTTGTGACCTAATGTGTTGGCTTGGGTTGGTAGGGAGGGGCTCCCCTTTTCTGAGGAGAAGCGGGGAGGGATAGAGGAGAGATAGGAGGGGGCTACAATCGTGATGTAAAGTGAATATGTAAATTTTAAAAAAATTTCAAAAGAGGGCTGGAGAGATGGCTCAGGCATATGGCTGCTCTTCCGAAGGTCCTGAGTTCAATTTCCAGCAAACACATGGTGGCTCACCAACTATCCATAGTGAGATCTGGTGCCCTCTTCTGGCCTGCAGGCTCACATGCTGGCAGAATGCTGTATAAATAATCAATCAATAATTTTTAAAAATAAATTAAAAAAGAAGAAATAAAAACAAAAACCAAACAAAAAGGTCTGAGCAGCAGCAGCAGCAGCTCTGGCCACTGGCCCACTTGGCAGTCTCTTCAGCTACCCTGAAGGTGCTGTGAAGAGGCCGGAACCTCGCTGTGCATCTGGTGGTGCCTGGTTTCCCTGAGCTGGTTTTAAGTCTGAAAGGTGTGATGCTCCTGGCAGAAGGAGTTCTGCCCTAGTTCTGTGTGAACCGAGCCAGGGCATTTAAGAGCTGATGGCAATCTAGAAGACCCACGCTGACAGGGCGCCTCTGTGCCTCTCCGGGTTAGCTTTTACTTACGTTTCCCCTCAGAGGTCCTTCTTCCTCCTGAGAGTGACATCAGCTCCCCCTCCCCTTCAGTCCTTTTTTGTTTACATTCTGAGCC